AGGAGTAGGGTTAGGTCTAGGCCTTTTCTTTGTTTGATGGGGTGGTCGCTCGTTACGGAAGTCCTTCCAATCTCATTCTAGATCTAGATTCTAGTCTTTAAAAGTCTTAAGAGATTCTAGGCCTATCTAGATTCTAGGTCTACTCTAATTCATTTCCTCTCTCTTTTCCAGATATTTCGAGACTGACATTTGTGAATATATTAATTTGAAGAGTGAATTCTGAATAGCCTACATTGTACTGCGAAAACTGGAGACATATCATGTCAACGTTGTCTGTAAGAGGCAACCCTTTAGGGGAGAGTTCGAAAGAGAATCGCCCCGCCAAAAGTGGCAAGGCAGGCACCTCGAAACGGTCTGTCTTGGGAAATGTGACTAACCAGGTGCGAATTCAGCCTGTGAGAGCTGCCAAAGATAAGGTAAGTTTTTGTTGGGGGTTTTTTCAGATTGAGACCATTATCTAGATCTAGATCTAGATCTAGATCTAGATTCTAGATCTAGATCTAGGTTTCTAGATCTACCCTCAATTTGAAGCATGGGAGGTGGGGAAGGACATCCGTAATGAGTGACCACCCCAACAAGCACACAATGTAAAGAGACCTTACAATGCAAACCCTACCCCTAGCCCTCTATTCTACTGTCTCATGATAGATCTAGATCTAGTGGTCGCTGGTTATGGAAGTCCTCGCGGGGCCGAGAGTGGGGACTCTTTTAACTTCATCCTTTGAATCTTAATAAAGAGCAAGTTCAATAAAATCACTGTCTGAAGGAAGTTTTTCATCTTTAACTATAATTTGACTGTTGGGATGTTAAATTCCTGAACAAAATATTGTCAATGACAATGTGACCTGGTTTTCATCGATTTATAGATCTATTGACATAATTGGCCAGTTTTTTTATTGCATTTACAAAGTCTATGCTAGATCTAGATTTAGATCTCTAGATCTAAATCTAGATTCTAGATTTTCTAGATCTAGATATATCTAGATCTATAATGCTGTATGTAAGTGGCAAATTTTGTGATTTGACTTGTGTACTAGAATCTGAATCTAGATCTAGTTCTATCGTGATATTATATATAGCGAGACAAGCTCCAATGCTGTATTTACTGTTTCAGCACTCAGTTCTTCAGGCATCAAAATCTGGAGCTGGTGGTCAGGAGAATGTGGGTTGTGGAGCCCAGAAAAAAGCATGCTCTGGGGGACTTTCCTCATTTTCCATTTTCCAAGATGTCGCTGTTGTGCAGCCGAGGCCTGTTGCTGCAGCCAGGGTCCCACCAATTGTGCACGAGGAGCCTATGAATGATCAGGTAGGGATGTCGGCTAGTTTGTGTACACGAGTGAAAGGCCACCTCTATTCTCACCCCGGGTGATAATAGCGCAGGCGAGTCTTTTGGCTATTCTCACCCGATGGGCGTTCACCGTTATAGCCTAGGGCAACCAGTGAAATAGCCGTAGCATCTTTGCAGACAACCAAATTTAGTTTTCTTGTTTAAAATCATTTTTTAACTTTGTTTTGGTCAATTTGATCGTCCACACCGATAGACAGTATTCAGAAAGAGAGAGGGGAGGAGTAGATCTTGCGAGAACTTCCGGGCAAAACAAAATGGTGACCCGCGTAGTTCGGCTCGATTCGAAAAGTGAAATGGCCATAGCATCTTTGAGAAGACGATCAAATTAGCTTACTTTTATGCTATAACGTAATTTTTTCTTGGCTTTTATCAATTTGATCATCCACACCGATAGACAGTATTCCAAAATGAGGAAAAACAGGTCTTGTTTCACACCGGGTGAGAATAGCCTACGCTGGCAAGTCTCACCCGGGGTGAGAGGTAGATCGTATTTCTATTCTCACCCCGGGTGAGAATAGCCACTTCCCGAGTGAAAGGGGCTGTGAATGATCTCTCTACAGGAGGGGTAAGCTGTGAGTGTTCCTTTGACTTGTGCTGTGGTCCTTTGTCTTGACCTAGATGTTTACCTTTTAATATATATTGGAAAAACATCCTGAGTAAGACAAGGTTGTGTCCTATCACCACTATTTATCATATATATGGATAGAATTTAAAAAAAAAAGAGGCCAACACAGAACCAGAAGCCCTAAATGAATTACTCATCGCTGATGACCGAAGCCTGGCACACAAGTAGATGAAGTCTCCTACACCACACCACCAGATTAAACGAAGAATGTAACAACTGCAACATAATCAACAAAACAAATGAAAGTAACCAGAAAGCCTAGACCACTCAGGATACTCAAGTCTCAGACAGGTCCGAGAATTTAAGTACCTGGGAAGTATATTCACTGAGGATGGGCGACTGAACAGAGAAATTAAAACACGAGTACAAAAGGCCAAAAATGTTACTGTGTTAGTTACCAGCTTACTCGACTACTGAAACGTCCTAACATCCCCATGACAACAACTCAAAATGATCAATACCATATTCATCCCAACACTCACCTTTCAATGCCAAACATGGACCAAGAGCCAGACATTAGACCATAGAATTAAGACATGTGAAATGCGATGCCTTAGAAAAGCATGAGTAAACAAGACCTGGTGAGACTAAATTATGAAATCTGTAATCCAAGAAATGGTGGGCACAAATGTCATGCATCACATCCAACACCAAAGAATCAAATGCTTCGGACATCTCCTACGGTTACCAACACACCATCCAGCACAACGTGCCTACATCCAAAAATTAGATAGCCACATGGCTAGAGGGCATCCGAGAAAGACCTGGATAGAGTCAGGAAAACATTAACCACCCATGGCATCCCCCTGAACCAAGCTCTCTGGCTGGCGACAGACAGACGTCTTTCTTCCCGCGACACCCAAAAGGGTACAAGCGGCGGATAAAAGTAAAGTAAAAATATTTACTTGAAACTGAAGTATTCTCATATTTTTTACCTTTACTGCTGTTTTTTGTCATTTGCAGGAAAATTTCATTCCTGAACAAGACCCACACCTGAATGAGGCCGTCATGGGTCTGAATGGAGGCGGTGCCCTACAGCACTTAGCCCCATTGGCTCCTCTTCAGGTCAACTTGGAACCTTTGGACGGTGAGTGTCTTTTCATTGTGTAGTGTCCTTTGAAGTATGATGGGAGTTTTGCGGGGGTTATAAAGTTGTACTGTGTACTTACCTGTAAGCCGTGCTTGTGGGTTATCTTTTTTTTAAAAATCGGGTCAGTGAATTGGAACATTTTCAACCTTCGCCGATAGAGAGGCTTGGCGGGTGTTCCTTTTCTATAGTCATTATCTCTTCAATGCCTAATCTTAGACCTAGATCTGGTGTGATGTAAGAGCCGTAAAACGCCAAAACAAAATAGCCTTCACTGACATATTTTGAGATTATCCTTTTATCATTAATCGCAACGGATGTTGACTGGCACCTATGGTATAATGGTTCAGTGCTTTGTCACATGCAGAGGGCATGAATTGGGAAAATTTGAGTTTCCCTGTCTTTCTGCTGGTATTATATTGTATCTCTCACCCTGGATTGTCCTGACAGGTGCAGCAGCAGTAGAAGTCTGCCTCCTGAAGTATCTAGATTGTTGATGGGGGATGTAAAAACAGCTTTTAAGAAATAACCCTACCCATGCGGAGAAAGTTGCTCTGCTTTTATGAACTGTTGATTGCACTGTTAAACCAATAGTCAAGTTTCAAGTGTGTGTGAAAACCCAAATGGTCAAAATTTGTCTTTTCTCCCCATGTTGAGTGCCACCTTTTTCAAAATATCTTTAGATTCACCGATGGTGGTTGATTCTCCGCGAGAAGTGAAGAGCCTTGACAGACAGGATGACTTTGGTCTTGGTCCCTACTATGATGACATTTACAAGTACTTGAGGTCAATTGAGGTAAGTGGCTAATCTAGAAACGACTTTTTCAATTGAGATTATTTCCATTTTTTTCCCCCATCAAACTCACATTGCTTGATATCTGACACATTTGTTATAATGGTGAAATCAGGCTCTTGTGAAATAATTAAAATGAAGAAATTTCCGGCAAATGGGTAATTTTTTGTAAGTTATTGCTCAGCAGCTTTTATGTTCATTTAAAAGCATTTGAGTGGATTTTATGGAAACACGATCAAATGCACACAAAAAAAAGGAAATTTTGCAGTTTCCAAAGTTTTTGAATTCATCAAACTTTTGCAGGGGGGCTCTCGTGGCATAGAGGTTGAGGTACTGGGTTCGAATCCGGGTAGTGACCGAAAAAATTATTTTCTTCTCTAAATTTCTCCTTTCACCTCCTTCCCTGCTCTCTAGCAATGTTCTGTCGTCTGCTTTCGTCTCCTCTTTCTGCCCCCACTCCCTCATCTCCTTTGGGCTCCTGATTCTTTCTACAGCCTTTCTACTGCTACTCCTTGGCTTCTTTCTGCTGTCTTTCAGCCACACCCCTGATCTTCTGATAGGAAAAATCTACACCTTGTCTTCTCGGACAAGTGCGAAAAATCTCGGAGGGCCTGTGTGCAAGTTGCGCACGTTAAAGATCCCTTGGTGGTCTAAAATCGATAAGAGTAGGCTTTGGCCGCCACCCGGGCTAAATTTAAAATTTCCTTCCAACTGAAAGTTTAATGTGTCCCGCGCGCTCATACGACCTTATGCAGTTGCGAGCGCCGTAAAACACTTAAAAAAACAAACTTCCACAGCCGTTTTCTTGCTGAAATATTTCACCCCACCTCCCCCAATCACAAATGTCTATCTCTTCTATTAAAAATAAATTGGTATTTTTTTTTCACCAAAAGCAAAAGCTTTTAGATACCAGTAGTTGGTACCCAAGAATTGGCAAGTGCCTGATTCCACTGTATTAGTTTGACTTAAATTTAGCTTAAAATCAAATGAAAAAGTAACCCTTTCTTCCAGACTTTTCAACTTTCACTACTCAAATAATACGCGACAATTTTTCTCAAATTGTGATTTTGGAAAATCCAAGCATAGTCAAGCCTTTTGTTTCATAAACAAAAGGCATTATATAAAGTTGGCAAGCCCATGTGTAGTTATACAAACAGTAATTTTATACTGCTTGTCTGAAAATGGTCCACAACATTTAAGGCAAAATGTTCTATTTTATAATCACTTCAGTCTACAAGTCGACCTGGAAAGAATTACATGAGTCGTCAGACGGATGTGACCACCTCAATGAGGAACATCCTTGTGGACTGGCTTGTGGAGGTGAGTTTATTGTATCCTACTTTTGTTTATCCATGTCTAAAAAGAGGGAGGGGGTATGTTTGATTTCGTTTTTAGTGCTGGTTTTTTTTTTAAGGATTGGAGTTATACCTGCTTCATGAAGAAATAATAGTCCTTGATATGCTGTTCAATGGATGATTGGAAAGTGCCACTGTTAGGACCTTGTTTTTACCTGTTTTTTGTCCCAGTTTTTCTCTGCAGTCTGTTCTGTTTTTTGTTTTTTTAGTGCTTTGTTTCATGAAGTGTCTCTCTGGTCCAAATGGTATATTATTTGTGGGTGGTTGGCGGGTGCTCTGGTGTGGTTTGCTCCTTTCGTATTAATAATATATTGTCCGTATCTTTTTTGTGTTTGTTGCTCTCTGGTAATCTTGATGACCTAATTATCGCAAAGGCTGTAGAGCTTTCTCAAAATAAAATGAAATTTTCATCTTCAGGTTGGAGAGGAGTACAAGCTAAATCGCGAGACTCTGTTTCTGGCCATCTCCTACATCGACAAATTCCTCAGCATCGTTGGTGTGCAGAGACCCAAGCTGCAGCTGGTGGGCACGGCGAGCATGTTCATTGCTGCGTAAGTTGATCTCTTGTACTTTATGTGAATATTTCTATATCATATATGTACCCACTGCCTTGTGTGTTAAGGTTGGGCTCTTTGCTTTGCCTGCTGGAGAGTTCACTTCTTACATGAGGAAGCAGTTTACTGGGTCGGTCTAGTGGGATGTGTGCAGTATCCTTGTGTTGGTTAGCAGAGATGCTGTTAACGTGTTCCATGTTCTTATGCACTGTATTGTACAGTAAATGGGCTGATTTATCAATGTCATGCTCATACTGTGCCGGAACATTAGTGGAACCGCTGCTTTTTCTCAACTCATCCTTAGTCAACACGTCCACCAAAATATCACTTCCAGGCCAGGCCAATGTCCGACATTTTTGCATGGTGTAGAGCCAACTCGAGACGATCTACGTCCACCACGTCAGACCAGCTAAACCTATTTTTAGCCCGGTGTGTTAGGATTATGAGAACAGGAACAGGCGATTTATTTATTTAATTACATTTTCAACATTGCTACAGGTGTGTAGATCTGTTCTATAGAGACATAAGCATAGGTCTAGACAAGACTGCCTTTTAAAAAAAAAAACTACGCAGAGGCTGGAGTTATACCTGGCGTAGATCTACATTTTAGCTCGTATGAGCCGGGTGACCTAGGTATTTTGCGCAATGGCTAGGTCTAACCTATTTTTAGCTCTTGAGAACGAATAATCTAGGTTAAGTACTTTATTCCATTTTTTGTTTCTCAGCACAAATCTACTAGTGTACATTAAATTATGAGATACTATATTTGATATAAAGTGCCTTAAAAAGCAAAATTGTACTTAAAGAGATGCATATTTTCTTCTGTCTTGGCCTTTCTCAGCTCAAAATGACTTAGTGCTGTGATGTGCTTTTTTTTCCTCCTATCCTGCTACATATATAGAAAGGACACTGCTGATGAAAATCTGTAGTGTTCCTTTGATTTTTGATAGGTGAGATTATGAGCCTGTTACTTTTATTTCTCTCCCCCACCCACCCGTTGTCTCAAATGCAGACCTTATTATAATAAAGCTGTCTTATTAGTAAATTTTTATCATCTGAACGCAGGAAATATGAGGAAATCTACCCCCCAGATGTAGGAGAGTTTGTGTACATCACTGATGACACCTACACAAAGGCCCAGGTAAGACCCAGAATGCTTTAAGTTTGTTTCGCTCCGCTTTCTTTGCAAGATTAAAACTCAACATTTATGTGAAGGCTGTAGGAGGGTGTAACTTGCCCAGTGCTGTAGTTTTGTTAATGTAAGCATCATTTGCTACCGATTGAAAGTGTGCTCACTACAATTTTTTTGGTTTACTAGTCACAATATTGCATCCAAAAAGACAAAGTAACTTCTTTTCTTGTGTCTGCAGTTGTAAATTGTTCGTCTGGTTAAGAATGTCACAACTAGTAAATAGAATAGACCTGAAACTTGAAAATGGCAAATAACAAGAAAATTTTTATAACTGGAACTTCTGTGCTGATCCTTAACCTAAAAGATTTTAAAAAATAGTACATTTTTGACCAGCTGTTCAGATGTATTAGCCTAAAATTTTGAAAAATTTATTGCAGTTTCTTTTGTTTCATGTGCTAAGTATTTATCGAAATTCAAATTCCTGATTGTTAAAAAAAAAGTGCAAAGGTATATTTTTCTCCCCCCTGAGAAATTTCGCTTTCTGAACTTAATACATTTGCACACTTTATGATTTTTCAGAATTTCAGGTCAAGTGGACTTAAATTTTCACTTCCAATTTTTTTTTCACTTCAGGTTTTGAAGATGGAGAGTGTGATTCTGAAACTGCTTGACTTCAAAGTGGCCTTCCCCACCATCAACTGGTTCTGTGAACATTTCCTGGAACTGTTGGACATGGATGAGAGGGGCAAACATCTTGCTTTCGTAAGTATTCTTTTTGAGTTGGTGTATGCTCCTGGAAGTTGTATCCACTATTTACACCATTTTGTGTGAAGTCGTGAAGGAACGGATGTGTGGTGTGGCATACTTTACCTTGAAGTGTTACCATCAATATAATTTTCGAAGTCTGCTTCTGGCGGAATCTTTGTTAACTTTGCAGTTTAAATGAAAATATATATTTTTGTATTTCTAATTTGTGAATTGTCATAAACGTCATAATGCCTGATTTTATGGCTGTCACTGTCATTAGATCTATATGACTTGTAGATTGTATTTGTTTGAAGAAACTGCCTAAAGGATTGATAGTGGGTAGTTGTCGGGTGCTCTGGTGTGGTTTGCTCCTTCTTTCCTATCAAACATCTATCGTCCTGATCTCTCCTTTTTTGTTTGTCACTCTCTTGTAACACCTAATCTTTTGGCACTTATATGACCTTGTGTCGCAAGTGCTGTAAAACTCTTACTAAAACTGAAAAATTTATACATTACTGGTTTGAGTTTGTGGATGTGTAAGACGTTTTAGAGGGAGAAGAAATGTGTAAAAGGGAAGTATTGGACCATACATGTGTGAACTGGTCATGTAGTTTGTGGAAACATAGGTTTTCTTATTCTTAGGTCAGGCTCTTGTATTAGTTTAGAACTTATCTCTTGCAGTTTTTGACGGAGCTGTCCCTCATTGAGATGGAGGGATTCGTCCAGTTTCCCCCGAGCATGATCGCTGCATCGGCAATTGTCCTGGCGCGCTGCACCCTTGGGTTGTCAGAGCCATGGGTAAGTACAGGCCTGATTGTTGTGAGGGAATGATTAAGAATTTATCTATAGCAGTGTTGATGGCCAATAAGGATTGTGTCCTGTTGGCAGCTCCTTTTTCCCAGTGTAATTTGTGTCCATTTAAAAGAATTGTTTTTGTTCATGGCACATTACTAATTTCGATAAGGAATTTTTCGTTAAAAAATTCTCCCTTGGGTGGTTGGAGGGCGCTATTGAAAAGTCATTTTCTTTTCCTTATTGCCTTTTACTTTTACACACAAACACACTCTCTTTGTCTCTCTCTCTTTCTCTGTCTTTCTCTTTCTCTTCCTCTTTCTCTCTCACACACACACTGACTAAAAACCTATTATCTTGTGGATCTTAACGAGTGAAATGTCTCTTCCCGCCTCCGGACAGCCCACAAAGCTGGCATGCGCGAGCCGCTACTCTGTCATGGATCTACACAGCTGTGTCTTTAGTCTGTACAGACTGCACACGAAAGCCAGGGAGCTGCCCCAACAGGCCGTCGTTGAGAAGTACAAACAGCTCAAGTAAGTTTCTGTGTGGGCTTCCTGTTTGCTGGTGTGGGTGGGTTCTTTTCTACTTCTGTGGGTAGTTGGCGGGTGCTCTAGTGCGGTTTGCCACTTCTTTCCTATCAAACGTCTATCGTCCCATCTCTACTTTTTGTTCGTTACTCTTTTAACAACTCTTAATCTTCAGCACTTGTATATGACCTTGTGTTGCAAGTGCTGTAAAACTTAATTTTAAAAAATACTTTTCTGCTTCTCATTGTTGCTGTGAATTGTCCTGTTCTGTCCATATGGCATGGATGGTTGGCGGGTGCTCTGGTGTGGTTTGCTCCTTTCCTGTGAATTTGAGTCGATAGTACCGTAAAACCTACTCGATCAATCAATTCTATACATGTCATTATATTTTTTATCTTGTGTGTTCTGACGTGGTTTGCTCATTCTTTCCTCTTTACGTCATTTTCTTTTTTGTTAAACTCGTGTAACATCTAATCTTTGGCACTCGTATGACCTAATTGCTTTGCAAGTGATGTAAAACGCTTTTTATTAAAACATAAAACAGCAGTTTGCATCCAAACTTGTTGTTTAACCTGGTCTGCTGGTCCTCCACAGATACAGCCAGGTCTCTCTGCTGACTCCCCCAGCTCTCCTGAACCTTGAATAGACCAGTCGTCTTTCAAAACGCGTCCGTTTATGAGGAAAAGAATAATGGACTGCAGAAGTATTTGTTTTGAACTGGAGTTGACTTGGATAGCAGTGCGAAGGCGGCATTTTGTGAAGACGGCAGGATTAACCTTCATGGATGTCCTTCATGTGATGGAAGTGGATTTTCGTTAGTTTCAGGTGACTTCCACTGTGTAAATTTGACCGGTGTATTTTGAAAAAATTTTGGCTTTTACTTAGAAAGTGAAGGAAAAAAATGTTCAAATTTAAGATATTGGGGGGGGCTCAAGAATGTTTGTTGACCAAATTTTATGATCTCATGCCTATTCATTCATTTTGATTGTTGGAAAAACCTTGTTGGTGTCTTGCTAAATGATGTATTGTTCTAGGTTATGATTTTCACTGCCATTGCACATGAGAGGATGAACAGTGCTGTGTTCTTAAGAGGGGCACACTGATGTTCCTTTATTAAGGGTATCAATAGGCCACTTTGTGAGAATGTTGTGTTGTGTGACTTCTGTGGGCAGTGGTGTTGTGGTTATGACTTGGGCCCTGAGGGGATTGATGCGATGCGTCAGGTTGTGGGAGCAGCAACAAATTGTTGGTAGAATTTAGTTTAGCACCCTTCCTTTCCCATCCTGAACAATGTGTTGCTTTTCTTGAAATGTTACATGGGTGCTACTATGCAAATGAACTTCAGCTCAAATACAAGTACAAAATTATTATTTTTTGTATCATATAATCTTTTAGTATGTATATTTTTAAACATGTGCCTTTCTGCCTCAGTGGCGTGAACAGAACTAATTGTTCTTAAAAAGCTCTGTTCCCTTCAACGGGGCTTAATGAGTGAAGTTGATGCTTTGAAAATTCCTGCACTGAATATGTTGACGCATCTATAAAGCTCTTTGGCTTTTCTTTATTGACGAGCAGGCTTCTGAAATCTCATGAAGTTTCTGGATTTGACTTTTGTCAGTCTTGAGAATTTCAGACTTATTTTGCCAGTGAAGAAGTGAATTGGGAGTTTGTGGGTGATTTGTTTTAGACATATTTTACTGCATTAAGTCTTTCTAACTTGCATTTTCTACACCAAGGCTTTTAATATGTAAAAAAAAGAAAAAAACCAAAAATAAATGTATGTGGAGTTGCATGCTAGATATTGTAATATGTGAATCTCTATTATGTCTGTACAGTGTAAAGTGAGAATACTGAATACATAAATGTACCTTTTATTTTGCTAATATCTGAAGCCTTCTGTGCATAGCCAAATTCATTCCGTAGTCATCAATCAGGTGCTCAAAATTTTTCTCCTCCCCTCTTTTACAAACATTAGAAACTTTGCATTTCACTTTGGAAGATTTTCTAGATTTAACTTTGAAAACTAGGCTTATACTGAGGTTTAAAGTGTATAGTAGGTGTGGTAAAATGAAGGTTGGCTTAGCATTGAAAAAATTTGTGGGAGGTGGCGCATTTTGGTTTTATTAGGTTTGATTAGTATTTGTTCATACGTATAGAAAAATCTTCCCGTTCGCTTCGAGCTTTCAAAACTCTAGTCCCATTGTTATATTTTCCTTCATTTACTTTGCAAAGTATACTGTTTTTAATCAGTTGTTTTGGTTGTTTTAGCCCTTAATTGTAATACTGCCATTTGCACAAATCCTGTGCACTAGTCGTCCTTGAAGATTTAAAAATGCTGTCTTTCCTGAAGCTACGCTCTAAAATTAAACTTTTAAGGTTTCAATGAACAATATTAGTGGTTCTATTTTCTAACAGCTTAAAATCCTTGATCTTTTTTTTAAAAAAACATACCATCATCCTGTAGATGCCATACACATTTTGTGGGTTAGTGGTGATCCTTTCGGTTTTCTGGCAGCAATTTTACAGACATCTGAAACATCTCTTAATCTTTTCTCTGCATTTTCAATTTCTCATTACCTTGGCATGATTGATTAGACCGGAGTGGTTTGGTTCAGCATTATACCCTGTTTGCCCTCGAGGGTGAGCTTCAGATTAAGTATGTGAAATGTTGAATTGTGCAGGATCATGCAGCTGTTGACATGTCCATTTTGTTTTCCAGCCTTAGTAGAAGCTCATTATCTTTTGGAAACTTTTACTGTATGTGTGCGCTGGCCTACAATATGCTGATTCGGCTGTTGTAAGGTTTCTTATTCAGACATTAAATTGATTTTTAAACAAAAATGCCCAAAAATATTACTGGTTATGACAGTGTTCACATTCCTGTTACTTCATATAAATGTTAGTTCTGTTCTTTCTGTAAGCTTCTCAGGATTTTCAAAGTTCAAAATTTGTTTACAAAATTTGTTTCTTGAGCCTAGTTACTAATCAATCAAATTCTCATGTTAATTTTGTTGCACGGTTTCTGCATAATGCTTTCACTTACCAGATTGTGGTTTTGGAATGATTTTGTGGATGATTGTAGAATAGAAACATTTTAAATCTTTGCCTAAACTTTCCAGATCATTTGACACCACTGAGGGCTGGAGTAATGGGGCGGTTGAGGATGAAATTGGGATGATGAATAAATATATGGTCAATGTTTAAAAGAATCTTTCTGACAAATTTTTTCAGTAATAGAAAGCATAATAGCAAGACAAAATTTTTAAGGGGGGGTCGTATCCTTTTATACAATTTTGGCCTTTTCTCTCTGTTTCCATTGGTTTGAAAAAATATTGATATAGCATAGGGGATGTGGGTCTAGACTAACACAACTTTGACTTTAGCACATTTTCATTTCAATTTTCTTGTAACTTTTTTCCCTTTATTTTATTGCTTATTTTGGGTTACATTTAGTTTTTGCTTAACTAATGGGTAATTTTGTTGTTGTTGAGAATTTAGTGGGGAATTTTCTTAGGATGGGGGAGAAGATGGGTAGAAAAATGTTTTCCAAACTTTAAAATGTTCCGTTAGTTTGATAAGCAGAATCTTTAATTTGGCCCAGGTTTTTTATATTTGAATTTCATTCTATAGTATTAACTATATATATGCCTTAGATGTTGTAACATTTTCATTTACTGCATTGATGTACTTTGATGTTGTCCTTTTTATTTCTCACATTGATTGCTTATTTTGGGTTAAATTTAATTTTTGCTTATCTTTACTGGTTTTTTCCTCCCTCCCTTCCTTTTTTGGGGAGAAATGTAATTTTGTGGGTATTTTTTTGGGGTGGGGTGGAGTTGGGAAGAAGAGAAATTTTTCAAACTTTGGATTCCATTAGTTTGGTAAGCATAATCTTAAATTTGGCCTGAGATTCTTGAAATGTCATTTCATTATATCTTAGATGTAACATTTTTGTCGTTTATTTCGTTGATGTAGCCTACTTCAATGTTGTCCTTTTTTCTATTTATTTTGGTTTGAATTTAATTTTTGCTTATCTTTATGGTTCTTTTTTTTTCCTTCCTTACTTTCCTTATTTTTTGGGTGGAAAAAGTAACTAGTGGGGTATTAATTTGGATGGGGTTGAGTGGGTATAAAAAATGTTTTTCAAACTTTGAAAAGGTTCCATCAGATAAGTAATGTTAAATTTGGCCCAGAATCTCTTGGATTGTCATTTCAATATATTTGCCTTAGATGTTGTAACATTTTTGTCATTTACTGCATTGATGTACTTTGATGTTGTCCTGGTTTTTTCTAACATTTTTAATTGCTTGTCATTTATTTCATTGATGTACTTTGATGTCCTTTTTTTTCTCATATGGATTGCTTATTTTGGGTTAAATTTAGTTTTTGCTTATCTTTATTTATGGTCTTTTTTCCTTCCTTCCTGTTAATTTTTGTAGAGAAAAATAAATAGTGGTGTATTTATACTTTGAATGGGGTGGGGGTGGGTAGAAGAAATGTTTTTCAAACTTATGAGGTTCCATAAGTTCGGTCTGCATGATCTTAAATTTAGCCCAGGATTTCTCAGAATGTCCTTTCAATATTTATGCCTTAGATGTTGTAACATTGTCATTTACTGCATTGATGTACTTTGATGTTGTCCAGGTTTTTTCTAACATTTTTGATTGCTTGTCATTTATTTCATTGATGTACTTTGATGTTGTCCTTTTTTTTCTTTCGATTTCTTATTTTGGGTTAAATTTTTAAGTTTTTGCTTATCTTTATATATGGTCTTTTTTTTTTTTAGAGAAAAGTAATATAGTGGAGTGTTTTTATTTTTGGATGGGTGTAGTTGTAGAAGAAATGTTTTTGAAACTTTAAACAGGTTCCATTAGTTAAGCATAATCTTAAATTTGGCCCTGGCTTTCTTGGAATGTCATTTCAATATATATGTTTGCCCTTGATGTTGTAGTTGTAACATTTTTGTCATTTATTTCATTGGTGTGTTTTTGTTGTCCTGATTTTTTTGCTAACATTTTTGATTAACGTAACTTTTTTTTTTTTCAATTTGTCAGTATTTTTTGTTTTTGATTCCTTTTTTAAGGTTAATTTTCAGTTGTTTTTTCAGTACTCCTAATTTTACTTTTGTCCTTTAATGATCGTAAACCCCTCTGCTTTCAACACATCTGTGTGAAAGTCTTACAATGCCTTCCCTGAGGAAAGGTACTACTGCGCTTCATCATGGCTGTTAACTTTTTTTCCTATCAAATGTATCCTCCTACGTATATATCTTATCTTGTGCCTGAGTTCTCTTAATAGAATTTGTTTGATTTTAGGGGGTTGATGGGTAGGTGTCTTCTAGTTGTGAGATTCTTTTAAACAGGAATTGACGTCAGTGGCTAGCATGTAGTGGATTAATGATGTTGCTCCGCAATCTGAAGTCCTGTAGACTGTTGGGTTGGCTATGCCAGGTAGTTGTAGGTTCTTTTTCAGGCTGTTTGAAAAGTTGGCAGGGGTCATGTTAGATCTTAGGAAGAAGGGGTTGGGGGTGTAATGTATAGAGATTAAGTTTTTTAGTGTAATATGAAATGTTTTGTTGAATTAGGGTTTCTTTTAGAAAGCCAGGGTTGAAAGGTTATAGTTAAAGGAAATATTTTGCTCAAGGTGGGGGTTGGGGTTTGAAATTAAGAAAACTAAATCCCTGTTGTAGTGGTATCATGTTTAAAACATATTTTCTTAAAAAAGAAAATATGTTGGTTGGCTTGTACTACAGTCAATGACTGCCACTATTTGTTTCTGACCAATTTGTCTTGACAAATGTTAACAAAAGTTAAGAAGCAGTGAAATTTTACCCAAGCGGAGATGTGTAGGCAGTAGGTGCAGGGAGGTCTGCTGCTTGATAAAGATTTGCTCAAGTTTTTTGTGCTTCCTGTCTTTCCCTTGTCATTTTCCCCCTCGAAATGTAAAGGTAGTGCATAAGATTGTAGAATGTTTCTTTCTCACATAGATGCTGAGCACAAACTTTTTTCTTCTTTCTTAGTACTGAAATGTGAAAGTATTAGATATTCGGAAGTATATGAAAGTTTACTTGTATTATATGTATTGTACTTAACCACCATTACCATAATCTAAGCATGCTGTTTTATAGCTGTTGCCCAAAGCTGTGCTGGAATTTACTAGACAGTTTTGGAACTAACGGCAGCTTTGCATGAACTTTCAACTCAACATTTATTTTTGTTTTGTCGTATTATAAGCCTTGTGTACAAATTGCAAGAAAGAAATTCTTTGCCATTGTTCAATGTTTCACGATAATGGGCACAGTTTCTATCACTGCCATTGATAGCCAATGTTAGTTTTTGTACATATTTTTCTTCCAAGGGACCAGCAGCCTTTTGGCGTTTGGTCAGTGGTGCTGAAATCAGCATTTGAAGTAGTGGCATGATACTGTTTACTTTTTTTATCTTTTACGGCAGCAAGTTTTAGCACAATATTATGTCATGCCTGATCAAAGGGTGAATTTTGGTTATTCTGGACTCCATTGTTCTTTTCCTTTTACCACAACTTCAACATCAGTTCCTTTTCCGGCTTTCTCCTTTCCTTTCGTCTCTTCCTTGTCTTCCTTGTCTTCCCTTCTGTTTACATTGTTCCTTCTTTCCTCCTTTCCTTGTCTTTGTCTTTGTTATTTGCTCTTAGTTTTTTTGTTGTTTTTTTCAGCTATGTCATTGTCAGTTGTTCCTCTTTCCTCAATTGTGCTTGTCTTTGTATATTTTGCTACTGTTCATTGTAAAGTAATGCTGTACTCTCCTGACCCCCTTTCACATCCACGTTCTCTCTTTATTATAGAGCTTACTGGAGTACCTATCACTGTCTTCTGTCTATCGTCTGTTCTTTTTCTTTCACAACGCTGTGATCATTAGTTACGGCCTGCTGATCTAAGAGGGAAAAATACATTTGTCATTTTTCTTTCCGCATCCAGCAATTTTGAAAAGTGCGTAATTGAAATTGTGATCAAATTCTGTCTGTCCGTTCGGCTTCTGTTATTGTGTACCCCCTCTGTCTATCCTTTTTTCTTTATACCAGAATGTTAGAATTTTTTTGCAATATTCTCTTGCTCCCTCTTTATCTTCCTGTCTGTTTGTCTCTGCTATCGTGTGATGGGAAATTTTTGTTTTCCTGTCACGATGGCACTTCTGTTATTCTTGCATAATGTAAATTTTGTATAGTTGAAATATTGCTTAATATATACGTTATATATCGTAGATATGTATGCCAAACATTGTCTTACCAAGCAAAGTGCCTTCACTGTTGACCATTCCCCGCACAGATGTTGATGTATACTTCACCTACATGTGCAGCATTTGTTTGAGAGTCCAGTTTGGCATGCAACACTAAATTAGTTGTGTATAGTTTTTGATCGGCAACTTTCCCAAAGTGATAGGGGTGTGGTGATGATCATATGCCGCAGTGTTGGCTTGCCTACTTGCTCACAGCCCCTCCTTTTAGCTCTAAAAGAACACATTTTTGGAACTTTTTTCATCAAAGCCCATGTCAGTACAATACAAATGGCCTTGTTTAATCTGGCAGTGTGTGAGAAATATTCATGAGCATAATGTTGGTCGCTTGTCAAGCCTAAAATTAGAAGCAAACCTTGGGTGATGAGAATGTTTTTTGATGGGCTGAGACTGGCTGAATGAGTTGAGTTGGTGACTTGGTCTAAGCCGTAATCCCTCTTTGCTTTGGTTTTTGTTGTCGGTTTATTGTACATACACACAAGATCCAAACCTTAACAGGGCAAAAACAAAAATTTGTATCTTCCTTGTGGTAGCTGAAGGGCAGACTTTTCTTCCCACTGAATTTTTACTTCCATGTTTTTT